GTTTTTTATCTCTTGGCGAGCACGGGATTTGTTTCGCTGTGGTAGTAAGCGGGTGGGGTTTCAGGGGCAGTGCGATAGTGGGTGCGGTGAGTTGTGGGGTCAGGGGGGGATGGCTGCAGTCAGAGACTGGAAAGGTTTAACATTCTGGTGTTCTGTTGGCTGTGTCGCTTTGTTTTCTTTGTTTTCTGTGCTGCTTTCTTTCTTTCCGTGTTACTCTGTAAGTGCTGTGTTTTGGCCTGAGAAGAGGTCTTTAGAAAGGATGTCAAAGTCTAGCAAAGGGCAACAAGGCTCATGAAGGGTCTAGAAAACATGTCTTGTGAGGGATGGCTGAGGAATTAGGTTTGTTTAAATCGTTTGTTTAAATCTCAAGAAGAGGAGGCTCAGGGGTAACCTCATAGCTCTCTACAACTACCTGTCAAGGGGTTGTAGAGAGGTGGGGAATGGTCTCTCCTGCCATGGCTGCAGGGAGAGGACTAGAGGGAATGGCCTTGAGCTGAGCCAGGGGAGAGTCAGATTAGATGTTAGGAAAAATGGATTGTTCAGCCTGGAGAAGAGGAGGCTCAGGGGAGACCTTCTCACCCTCTGCAACTCCCTGACAGGAGGTTGGAGTCAGGTGGGGGTTGGTCTCTTCTCCCAGGCAACCAGCAGCAGGACAAGAGGGCAGAGACTCAAGCTGTGCCAGGGGAGGGTTAGGTTGGCTATTAGGAAGAGATTTTTTACAGAGAGAGTGCTCAGACATTGGAATGTGCTGCCCAGGGAGGTGGTGGATTCCCCATCCCTGGAGGTTTTCAAGCTGAGACTTGGCACGGCACTTAGTGCCATGGTCTAGTAACCACAGTAGGGTTGGACTTGATGATCTTTGAGGTCTCTTCCAACCAGGTTAATTCTATGATAGCAAAGCAGTAGATGTGTTCGGTTTTCAAAGTGAACTTAGGCCAAGATGGTAAGGGACCACAATCAGCCCATGTGTGCTTAGCACTGAGATTTCATTTATTTCATAAACATAAAATTGCTAGCTGACTTGAAAAATCTTATGCTGAGCTTCTCAGCAATACGTGGGTGCCTGTTAGCCGTGTTTTGTGGAATTATCACAACTGTCTAACTGTAAAGTCTGTCTTTAGTTTTCAGGGACAGTCTAGCCATAGATTTAGATCTGATTCCCTAGCAATGGGTTTGGCTGGCAGAGATTGTGCTTGTTTTTCTCCAGGCACTTATATAGTCACACTGGCTTGAATCTACCAAGGAGACTTACTGTGTATTGAGAGCTAGGACTGTAAGGCTAGTTTCTGTGTGCTTGTCTCTAGTGCTTCCAGAGGCAGTGACCATTGACTTGGTGACCCTTCTGCTGAAGCTCTGTAAGTGAGCCCTTTGGCCACCAATGCTTCTCTGCCAGCTGATATCCTCCCCTTTCATTTCACTTTGTGAGAGGCACAGTGATGGTTACAATGCTCCCAACTTTGGTACCCTACCAAGACCTCCTGTATGTGCTGTGAGTGGGGTGGGATAAAATAGTCAGTCTTCAGGCTGCTGGTCTGGGGCTGCAAAAAAGCCTCAGCATCAGAAGGATGCACAATGGGACCTTCTGGCACCATCCATCCAGTTCTCAGTTTAGCAATCTGTTGTGTCTCCTGCCTGTGTGAAGTTCTAGAAGTGGTAAAGTTCACCTTGAACAGATATCCATTTGTTGTTCTGCTCTAGGACCCAACTAAAGACACGGAGTGGAATGACATCCTACGCAAGAAAGGTATCCTTCCTCCGAAGGAAGACCTGGAGGAAAAGGAGCGTGCAAAGGAAGAGGAACAGTTTGCCATCCTTCAGAAGTCTCTCGGTGAGTGACCAGCCAGGGCAGCAGCAGGACAAGCCATGGAATGGCTCCTGTACAAAGAAATGGCCATCAGCAATGTTGATATGCCTGCAGAGCAGCGTGTGATTTTCCAAGTGTTTAGGAATATCAAAGCTTCACAGGATGATCATCTCTTAATGGTATCAAACAAATACATTGCTGAACATATGGATTTTTCCAGCACAGGAGAGCTTTGTTCTTGATGCCAGCTCTGTATTTTTATTAGATGTAAATGCTTAAAAACTGCAGTAAGAACAGTGTGAAGGGAGTGTGCCAGTGAATGTGCAAGTAAAGTTCTCTCATAACGTTACCTGTTGTTTGGGAAGTGAACAGCACGTGTGTGTGGTACTTCTTTGCTGCCAAACTTGAAAGATCATGCAGGTACTTGTGTGCTAGTCTAGGCAACCTTCAGCTCAGAGGCCTTTGCATCATTGTCTTTTCATCTGCGTGTCTAAAGAGCATCTCATTTTCTAAGAATCCAGTAACAATGACAGGCTGACAGAGTTGGGGCCTGGAGAAGTGAATGCTTCAGGGAGGTGTTACAGCACCTTCCAGTACCTAAAGGGGAATGACAGTAGAGCTGGAGAGGGACTTTTTAGAATCACAGAGTTGTAGAATCCCCTGAATTGGAAGGGACCCACAAGGATCATTGAAGTCCAACTCCTATGGGCAATTCCAACTTTATAAGGGCATATAGTGATAGGACAAGGGGGAATGGCCTTAAGCTGCAGGACAGTAGGTTTAGATTAGATATTAGGAAGAAATTCTTCACTGTGAAAGTGGTGAGACACTGACACAGGTTGCCCAGAGAAGCTATGGATGTCCCAACCCTGGAAGTGCTTATGGCCAGGTTGAATAGGGCTTTGAGCAACCTGGTCTAGTGAAAGGTGTCCCTGCCTGTGGCAAGGGGCTTGGCACTAGATGGTCTTTAAGGTCCCTTCCAATCCTAACCATTCTGTGATTCTAAGATCATACCTCAAACCTCTCCCTTCTCCCATATTTGCCATTAATCTGTCCTTAAAGTGAATAAATTCTGTTATACTGATAAGAACTGGTGAGTCTTAATCCTGGAATGATGTTTTTGCTGATTTGATGTTTCTTCCATTTTAGTGAAAACATATGAGGACATGACTCTGGAAGAGCTAGAAGAGAATGAAGATGAGTTTAATGAGGAAGATGAGAGAGCTATTGAAATGTACAGGTCAGAGCAGCATGCAGAATTTGACTTTGCGGATAATTGCAGGGTCTTTTTTTTCTATGCTTTTAGATATTGTGAAAGAGATGAAGGATGTTACTAGGCCTGATGATGGAAAAAGGGGGTGGTGTTTCTGGTCTCTTGGAGAGCTTCGAAGTGTCTTTAATAGGATAACAGCATTCAAATTCAGTATACTTTATCTACAACCTGATTTTGCAGAAATAATGTGCACCTGCTGAGTGCATGGCTGGGGATTCTGAGAGCTTTGAAAATCACCTCCAAGATTTCCTCATTTTTGTGTGAATGAGATTAAGGTGCTGCAGATTTGCATAACTAGTATTGGTTTTTCTCTTTATCTCTTAACCTCTCTCATGATTTTTGCCATTTAGTTTGGTAGTGGGTTACCTGCAGAAGAAATGTTTGGTGAGGCCAGAAATGAGGGGGGAAAAAAAAGTATTTCCTGAAACATAGTTGTACTTTATGCATGTTGATGGTTTTAACTTAATCATGCAAACACATGAACATCTACTATGTCACTTAGCTTTTGTTGCTCTGGGGTTTGAAGAGGTTTGTAATGTGCCTCTGAAATCTATTTCAACCAGTGTTGTTCTGTCAAAAAAATGCATCTGTTCTCAAGATCTCTTTTCCTTTCTTCGCTATTCAGGCAGCAAAGGTTAGCAGAAATGAAAGCAGCTCAAATGAAGAACAAATTTGGGGAAGTTTTGGAGATTTCAGGAAAAGATTACGTTCAAGAGGTTACAAAAGCTGGAAAAGGTATTTGGGTAGTCCTGCACCTCTACAAACAGGGGTAAGAATTTGCTTTTAACCAGTAAACCTTTCACTGCCAATAGCTGAAAATGCTCTAAGACAAGTGTGTAGTTGCGGAATTTAGAAACTGATTCTGGAGTCCTACAAAATAAAAAAAAGTATTAATAATTTCAGTACTGTTGACTCAAGACTGCTGAACATAACTCTAGAATGATGTTACCATGAAGTGGCTCACCATACAGCTACCATAAAGGGAGTTGCTGCCACTGAAACAGCCAAAATTGGAAATTACTCTGGGTGAAATGCAAGGGGCTCTGGAATAGAAGGATTGCTATGTGTATTCAGCCTGGTTTCTAGTGGCATAAAAAAAATGGAGTGAATAAGGTTTCTAGTCCTGTCACCATGATAGAAAAACTTGTCAAAATTGTCTGTTAAGCTACTAGAGTTTTCTGGAAAAGGTTATAAATATTCACTACTGTTCATTGTTGGAACTTGCTAAACCACTCACAATCATCTACCAGCAGTCTGAGATAACTGGAGAAGTTCCAGCTGACTGGAAGTTAGCAAAGGTGACACCCATCTATAAGAAGGGTTGAAAAACTACCTGAATTTTCTGACAGGGGGTTGTGGAGAGGTGGGGGATATCTGTCCTGCCATGGCTGCAGGGAGAGGACTAAAGGGAATGGTCATAAACTGAGACAGGGCAGAGTCAGATGAGATGTTAGGAGAAATGTTTTCCCTGTTAGGGTGTTAAGGCGCGTGAATAGATTGCCCAGGGAGGTGGTGGAGTCACCATCCCTGGAAGTGTTTAAGAGGCAGCTGGATCTGATGCTGCAGGATCTGGTTTAGGGGTTAGAGCAGAGTGTCAGGTTAATGGTTGGATTAATGTTCTTAGAGGTCTCCTCCAACCTTGATGATTCTATGATTGTCTCTAATTGCCTGGCAGGCATTGGTTGCCATTTGCATATTTTCTTCCAGGAGCTCCTTTTCTTTCTATTTTGCCCTTGCTCATGCAATTCCTAAATGTCTTGAATTCATAAACAAGTTCCTCTCTATGAAAGGGGGAAGGTTTCATAGCTAATGTATTAAAACAAAAAATCCACCATCTGCCAAAATCTCCAGCAATGTCCTTTGAGTGCTGGAATACTGGAAAACAAAAGTATTCACAAGTTACTTCTGGTACATTTGTCTTTCCAGAAATGCTACTCATTAAGCTGATTTTTCTGACCTTTTTTCTGGAGCAGATTACTGTTTAATTTGTCTCTTTTTTTTTTTTCCTGTTGCTGTTCTTTGCAGAATTCCACTGTGTGCCTTAATAAACCAACATATGAGTGGGCTTGCAAAAAAGTTCAGAGATGTGAAATTCATCAAAGCTATTTCTACCACCTGCATTCCCAATTACCCTGATAAGAACCTGCCCACGATATTTGTCTACCTGGAGGGAGACATCAAAGCTCAGTTCATTGGGCCTTTGGTGTTCGGTGGCATGAACCTGACAAGGGATGGTAAGTGTCTGCATTTCCAAAGGAAAAGCAAAATTGCTCTGCTGGGAATGAGAGAAGTGAGGCTTCAGTGAGTTGACAGGCAAACTTATTTATCTTAATGTGTGTGCAAGTATTCATGGCCTGTGTGGGGTGAAACAATTTTTGCTGGATGTATTAAAGGCTAGACACTACCCAGGCACAGTATTTGGGGCTCTTGTGCATCAATGACTGAGTTTGCCCACAGTGGCACAATAATCTGTGCATTTGATAACTGGTGCTTGCCTATTGCATTGTAGGAAATATATTGTCTGTTTTTCCTTCCTGACATGCAGGCTCCACTCCTCATGAATCTGTCTGTTTCTCCAAATGCAGCTGCTAGCCTGAATTGGGCTGCTTCCTTTTCCCTGTGCCTTCTTCCTGAGATGGCAGCGTGTTAAACTCCTGCCTCAGTGGTTCAGGGGGCACAGGGCTCCACGAAGAGAGGCTGTTCCCTTTCCTGGACATTGTGGTTTTCCCTAGACCTATTTTTCCTTGCCCATCTTGGCATTCTAAAGGCAGTCTAGGTCGTGCAGGCTTGGCAGCATGATGTGCTTCTGGAGATGAGGGCTGTGATGCAGAGCACTGTGGCTCTTCAGTAAAAGGTGGTTGGTCAGGGATAGTGTCCTACAGCAGTGCTTGAAGACAGGTCAGCAGTGAAAAAGGCTCTTTTTGATTACATCTGAGTTACATTTGCTTTCCTAGTGCATTTTGCTTCAGTTAGAAGGAGACTTATCAGCTTTTTGAGTAGACAGTTTGGTCTGGATGCCTTCAAGCTTTTTGAAGGTCAGACTTTTAGGGGACCTTTATCTGATGTGAACCACAGTTAAGCAGCATTTCAAGGTCCCTGCTGAGTAATGTCACTGCCTGTGGTGGCACTGGATGCAAAGAGGTTTTTTTACTAAAACTCTGCAGTTTGTAGGATAACTTAAGCATGTGCTATAGAAAATACTCCCCTGCCTTGAACAGTCAGAAGGGGAAAAACTCACCAGTGAGATTGCTGATTTGGGAGCTAACTAGCAACAGCAGTTGCCTAATTATGCAGTGGATTGAGTAGCAGAACCTGCAGTTAGGTTTCTCCCATTTTTAGCACATAAGTACTTGGTGTTGGAAGGGTCCAAAGGTGACTGAGCCAGCTTAGTTCAGTCATTGCTGAAAGCTGGGCACTGAAATTCTGCACTTTTATTCCTTCCTCCTTGTCCCCCAAGCCCAGGTGACTTCCACTGGAGATTAAAGAAAGTCTGAGGCTGTGTTCATTATTCTGTAATGTCTGAAGGAAATTGGATTTGATGATGGGGTTGTCAGCAGGACTAGGAGTGAGGTTTCTACTGAATGTGTTGTATTGACTTTCTGCCACTTCTGGGAAGCAATCCAGTCCAATTTGGGCCTGCTACTCGTCATGAAGACTCTCTTACTGTCTTGCTAAGGAACTAATAAGCTGACTGAACTGAAAAATATTTATAATTTAGATGTGTAAATGGAATTTCCACAATTTTTTCGCCCTTCTCTAAATTGATTCTCTGCCTCTTCTGATTGTGATGAACTCAGTATATGATGGAAACAGCTGTAATATAGGAGCAGTATTCCTTCACTGGCAATGGATGTGCAAACATGTCTTGTGCCCTTATGTGGTTAGAAGGAGGGAAAATTAATTTTCACTGTGATAGTTGCCTCGAAAGCTGCTGCTCTGTATGCATCACCTCTTTTGCGCTCCTGGTTGTAAAGGGAGCAGGGAGCCACTGAGGATGTCACTGGTGATCTGCAGAGCTCTGTGCCCTGAGCTGAAACCTGTGCCAGCACTAGGGACTGTGAAAAGAGGGCTTGGCTGGAGCAGAGGTGGGAGAGACAGGGCAGGCACTGGGACCTGGGCATGGTTTTGGTGGTGGTGATGGTAGAGCAATGAGAGAAGTCAGAACAAAGGGTGGGCTTTTTCCAGTTTGCTTCCCTGCAGTCATAACTCTTGCTTTTTTCTGCACAGAATTGGAGTGGAAGATTTCAGAGTCGGGTGCCATCAAGACAGACCTCGAGGAGAACCCCAGGAAGCAGATCCAGGACCAGCTCATGTCCTCAATTAGGTCATGTGTGCCAGCCAGAGGGGAGAGTGACTCAGAGGATGACTAACTCCTGCGACTGCATCAAGATCAATGCAGTAAACTTGCAGCCAGTGTTCCCCCCTTGAGCACTGCAGACACTCCTCCAGACCTTGCTGAGCCCCAGAAGGGGAGCATTTCATGATACTAATTTATCTAGAAACTTCTAGAAACTAAAAGAAGTTTCTGTTTTTTAAAAAAACATTTGTTGCAGCTTCACTTAAGATGCTGAAAGACATTTTGTATTAGGAAGCCTTGAGTACATTTTACTCAAACTTTTAAAATACAGACATCAGTAGAAACAGAAGTCTCTTGTTATTGTTTTCTTAGTAAATTGCTGACTTCTTTTAAAAAAACCTGAAATATGAAGTGGCCTTAAGTGCAGTTTTTTTAACAAGCTTAAGTTGTGCAAATCAAATCTGAGTAGCTGGTCTTAAGTAACTGGTTATAGCACTTAGGTGGGCCATCTCTTAGCCTGTTGTGTGTCACAGCTTGGACTTCCTGGAGAGCTAGGGGTGGTGACCCATGCTGTGGGTGCTGCTGAAGGTGGTGTGTGGCCTTTTGCAGAGGTGTGCTGGCAGTGGAGGCCAACACCAGGCTAAGAGCTGGGACCCCAGGCCTCTTGAGAGAGGCTTTGGTGGTGACCAGCATCTCCTGGGACCTCCTGAGTCCAGAATCCCCTTTCATTTAGAGCAGTATTCTGCCTTTCACAGGGGCTGAACTTCCTGCACCACTGGGAAAGAAAATGATGGTGCTCAAGTGTGAAACTACTGACTCCTTCCACAAAATCAGAAGGAAGATGATGTTTGAAGAAGTGACATCTTGCTATATTAAAGACTTCCATCTTCTAAGTACAGTAATAATCATTGAGGCCTTGGGAGAGCATAAACTGAAATGCCACCTTAATTATAGGTCTGCTGACACTCAACTGCTTATTATTTTGTGTTGGATTTAATGTCCACCTACACTTCCGATTTGTTTCCACTTGGGCTAGCAAGCTCCAGGAGCTTTTGCTAACAAGGCTGCCCCAAGGACATTTTGTTATATTGCTGATGGATTCTGTGGGTGGATGGTACAGAATGCCGTACTCAATAAGCAGCAGTATTTATTTTTTAGGGGATTTTTTACTTTGTGTTAGTTCACAGTGACTTTTAAGCATGTTTCCTGCACTCTGTTGCCCCAGTCAAATCAGTGTGTGGTTCAAACAACAAATAACTGTTCCTCAGACTTCAGGTGAAGTTGTAAGATCCTGATGGAGAGCTTCCTTTTGAGATCTTAATGATGATTGGACTGTCACTTGTCTCTTTTCTCTTTTGGTTTTTTTTGGCAATAGCTAAAACGTTAACATTGTGCAAGTGAGCCAAGTGCAGCAGAATGCAAGCTGATAAATCCTGACTATTATTACACAGCAGCACACTTCTCATGGCACTGGACTGTCCCAAACGCTATCATTGATGCTTTTCTGTACTTAACTACAAATTACAATGTAGGAAGAACAACTCTTTCTTCCTATAGAAGCCTATACTGCATATTTTGTTTATCTTTTGCTTGTTCTCATTTAACTGTGCTTTGGAGTCACCTCTGAGTACATGGACTGCATTCTTTTTTGAGGAAACTTAATTAGAGGAGCAACCCCCAAAGTTGGTCCACAGTGCTAGGCTAAAGCTAACGTGAAATAAGGTCCTATGACATTTGAATATAGGGCATGTCACATCCTCAGCCTCTCCCTCCACCTCTGCTGCAGCTGAGCTGTCTGGATTGCTGCTGCAGGCACAACTGCCATAATCTTCTCAACTGCTTTTTAATTAAAAGTTTGTCAAACCTAGGAAAGCAAGGTGGGATCTGCAAATTGTCTTGTATTGTTGCTGTGACAACTTCAGTTCAAAGTCTAATTAAAAAGTAGGCAATGCTTTGTATACTTTATTATTCCCTCTTTTATTGTCTCCCATTTCAGCACCTTCATGGAGGCACTAGTGATGTTGCTGCTGCCCTTTCACTCTCTCCTAGATAACAGATGATTCATGGACCACAGTAGGACAGAAGCTCAAAGCAGGATGACTGCTGCATTTAGCTGGGGCTGATGAGGGCTCTGTCCTGGGGGATTTTGGAATCACCTAGGAATGGAGACTCCTCAAATTGTCCTAGCGCTTGCTTGGCTCCAGGGCAGGCCTCTGTTCTTTGCATCCTGCACAGGCAACAACACCTTGAGCTGTAACTACAGACAAAGAAGTCTGTTGGCCAGAGCTTGATCCAAAGCTGCTTGTTCAATCAGGAGAAGTGGTGTTTTGTAGACAGGCATCTGTCCTTACGACACTAAGCACAGATCTGCTAGAGCTAAGCAACAGGGAAAGCTGTAGGACAGAGTGCACCTTGTGACCAGGCCATACCAGCTTGCAAGGGCCTTAGTGGCTCCCAGCTTAGAGTATATGGCCTGAACCCCTTTCTAGCTTCCTCGAGCCCTCCAGAAACTCTGCAAGTCCTCCTCAAAACCTTCCTGACTGCTCCTAGCTACACTGACACAGTGGTTCTTCTTCCCTAATCTGCAAAGTAAGCTGTGTTAAAGGGGTTGGTGTCCCCTCACCAGAAGGGCTCATGCCTGGTGAATGAGATGCTGCCATGGTGCAGATTTAAGCCCTTCAGGCAGAAGTGAGTGTGCTGGTTTGAGCTGGAGTAGAGTTAACTTTCTTCACAGAGGCTAGTATGGGGCTATGTTTGGGTTTTGTGCAGAGCACAGGGTTGATAATGCAGAGATGTTTTTGTTATTGCTGAGCAGAGCTCACACAGAGCCAAGGCCTTTGCTGCTTACCGTACTGCCACACTGGCAAAGGATGTTGGGGGTGCATGGGAGATTGGGAGGAGTCACAGCTGGGACAGGTGACCCAACCTGACCAAAGGGATATTCCATACCATATGACATCATGCTCAGTATATAAGGTGGGAGGAAGAAGGAGGAAGGGGGGACATCTGGAGTGATGTGTTTGTCTTCCCAAGGAACCGTTACACGTGATGGTCCCTGCTCTCCTGGATGCTGGCTTCCTCGGGCCCCCCAGAAACTCTGCAAGTCCTCCTCAAAACCTTCCTGACTGCTCCTAGCTACACTGACACAGTGGTTCTTCTTCCCTAATCTGCAAAGTAAGCTGTGTTAAAGGGGTTGGTGTCCCCTCACCAGAAGGGCTCATGCCTGGTGAATGAGATGCTGCCATGGTGCAGATTTAAGCCCCTCAGGCAGAAGTGAGAATCAAACTGAATTGCTGATGCCCTTGACACGTGGTGTGGTAAGCCCTTGAATAACTAAAAGGGGGAGGTGTTCAAAGAATATAGACTCATCAAGGTTGGAGGAGACCTCCAAGATCATCAAGTCTAACTATTAACTTGTCGCTGCTGGAACCTCTAAACCATATCCTCCAGCATCTTAAACACTTCCAGGGATGGTGACTCCACCACCTCCCTGGACAATCTGACTTCGGGCTGATTCCATGAGTCTTTCTTCCAGCAGGGTCTTAGAAGAAAGCCACAGCTACCTTCCCTTTTTGGATGGAGTCTAATGAGTTTTATGAGCTCTAGCACCAGCAAGAAGACTTGCTTGCAACTCACCACAGCTGAGTTGGCCCAAGCTTCTCAGCTGTGGTGAGCCAGGTACCCTGTACCTGGAAATGATACCTAGGGCACCCTCAGGTAGTAATGTCTTTCCTCTACAAGAAATGGACACTTCTGCCTGCAAGATTTACCCAGGAGATTAGACAGGAGAGGGGCAAATTGCCTCTTCTACTAGCCTACTCCCTGCAATTCAGGAGGAATGGCCACAGTTTGACTTAGACTTTTACCCTGAACTGCTGAATCTATTGACATGTTGGGGGATGCCATTTCAGGATGCAGTGCTGAAAGGGGCAGATGTGAGAATCATCACAAACCAGAAGAGGCTGAATGTGCTGCCCAGTGGATGAGACCCACATGAAGCATTGCTTCAGATGGGGTCTGGGCTTCTCACTGTTTGGCTAAGTGTGAAAACAGCTTCTTGTAACCTTATTCTTTTTCCTGCCAATCATATTGTCCTGCTCAAGGCCTTTTGCAGATATTAGGTCTCTCCAGGAAATGGATAACGAGGTCTGTTTAACCTTTTGGCAGAGCAGAAGCTGTGGAAACACACAGTTAAGGGGAATGAGCTGGCTGCTAAATAGCAACCCAAACCAGCCAATTAATAGACATTGCAGAATAGGGCAATCTAATGGGAGAAAATAACTGGAGAGTGTGATTTGCCAAGACTTGGGGCTCTGTTGCTAAATGCACTATCAATATTTTTGCAGCCTGTCAACAGTTAGTGTCAGATCAACACTCATTTCTTACCGGTGTGAGAAGGATTTTTCTGTCAGCTATCGTGGGAGGAATCAGAGGCAACGATGCTGGAAACAGTGCTGAGGCTTGTCTGAGTTACTGTCCTGCATACTGCTGGGACAGCATCCCCGACTCATCCCACACTGCAGCCGTGCCAGCAGGTGGTGGGAGGGGGAAAAGTAGCCCTGGGCCATAGATGATGGCAGATGATTTGCCATTAGTGGTCACTGTGGACTTTCTGGGGTTTTTTTCTGGTGTGAAATGTAAGTCCACCACTAGTAATAAAAGGAGTTTTCTTCATGGTGCAAGTCAAGTCTATTGCTTACCCAGGTTATATGAGCAGTCCATCAGGTTCATGACAGGCTGCCCTGATCTGGATAAGTCACCATTCTGATTTTTTCTCCAATATGCACTCACCAAACCCTGCCAAAGCTGCAGGGTAGTGTTTTACATCAATTTCACATGCAGAGAGAGAGACAGGTGTTGTGCAAGCAGGGCAAGGCCATGGAGTGGCAAATTAATCTGACACCTCTGGGTGCTTCATCCAGCCAGAGTCAGGGACCTGTATAGGCAGAAGTGTTTGCAGGACCATGTCTGCAGGAGGTGGAATGAAGGAGTGTGATTTGTATACCTGTGTTGTCCTGTACCTGTTTAGGTCAAGTCCTACTTTTCCAGGATTCAGCTCAGCCTCTCCTGTCTCCTCTTTGCACTGTCCTATCACTTCCCTTCCCAAATATGCTCAGGTGGATATTTGGTTGGTCTTACTGCTGGGAGTAGTTTAACTTAGGGGAGATGATTCCCTGGGAGAAAGCTGTGTGTGTGCTTCTTGCTGTGCTGGGTCAGGGTACAAGGATAGGCACACGATGCTAAGCCATAACTTACCATGACATCTGAACACTGGTATTTGCCTTTATAGAGTTCATAGGATCAGAGAATTTTAGGGGTTGGAATGGAGCTTACAGATCATCTA